ATTTTACAGTATTGTAAAGGCGTACAACAAACCAGCTATAAAAGGACGGAAGAAAAAGGGGAAAACATAAAAACAACAACAACAACAACTGTGGAAACAATCTTAAATTTATATCAATTCTTGATGACAATTTTTCCCGAAGATTAAAACAAAAATGATATAGATTAAATTAATTCTTTGTTGATAAAATACGAATACAAAGTAGAGTTCATACATACATACATATTTTATTCAAGGTATCATAAAAATAAACAGACAGAAATAACACGCTGAAAAGGAAGTTAAAGAGGTGGACCCTATATGAATTAACTTCCCGAAAAATAAAAACTAAAAAAAAATTTCTGAGAGGAATAAACGATTCAAATGGAAAAAACAAATGAAATTATGAAATACACATAAATGATTTAACATTAGCCTTAAAACATCTTCATAAAATCAATGACCAAGTCGTTAGCAGATAATTGCTTATAATGTTTGGGATCAGAGACTGTATCTTACCTTAAAAATTATAGATGTTATTGACCTTGTTGGTAAGTATTTGGAGCAGTTAAACAAACAAATGCGTTTCGTTGCAGACTGAATGACACCCGGTATTGGCAACACGTAAGAAAGGTCCTTTTGACTTTTGAGGAGGGGGGGGAGGGGGGGCGAGTATGGATGATTTGGTTTTGGGTTTTCCCCAAACATGTAACAACATACAACGGTGCAACATGAGAGACATTTTTTTTTTCAGTGCAGGACAAATTCTTGCGTCAGGTATTTTTTTGCAAGATATATATTCTCCATCGAAATCAGACTGCAAGATATTTTTTTTCTGATGAAATCACCCATACCCCCCTCAAAAGTCAAATGGTCGGGCAAAGTGTCTCAACTATTTTTGTGTCCTATTTTAGATCTCTTAGCGGTGACCATTTTACCCTGGAAATATAAAATTGGCCGATCTGAAGCCTTATTGGCATTTAATAAGATTGAATACTGCTTCTCTGACTCTCTTATTTACCCTGTAATACAACAATGGATTAATTCCCGAATTTATGGTAAACAGAGGAATTATAAAAGGTTGTAAAAACCTTGCAACTTGTTTTTGCACAATAATACCTGTTACTATAGCAGAAGCCATAGGTATGAAAAACAGTCCCAAAATGCCTACCACGTATGTTGTTGTTTTCGTTAGTTCGCGCTCAGCCGCAGCGGTTTGATCGCTGACAGAATTTGCCTGATTACCTCCATCCTCCATCATCTGAGTTACAGCGTTGTTATGACGACGGAAAGAACAAAGGGTTATGATCTGGAAAATGATGATGACCAAAGCTGAAAGGATGACGACGCTTGACATTATCAAATGGAAGATTGTGTAGCTAAGAATTTTAAACTGGTATAGACATCCAATGGCTGCTGATGTAAACCACACGAGGGAACAAACAACAACGACGCGGCGTTTCGTTACTAAAACTTTATATCGATGCCAAGTTCGAACAGCAAGATATCGATCAATGCTCATGATCGCGAGGTTTGCAATAGTTCCAAGAAAGCACATCGTGAGAGGTATTTCCAAATTCGTTTCTACCATTTCGTACATTTGCCAGCTAACTTCACAGACATTTCTGTTCATTAAATTCTTGATCCTGAAACCAGCGTATATCGGTGCAACTGTCGCCCCCCACAGAAGATCACTGAAGGCCAAGCTACACACCATCAGCAATCCTGGACGAAGAAACCTGATGCCCCTCCTCAACAAACCAATGATGATTATTGCATTGGATACAAAACACCAAATGCTAAGTAACATTGTGAGAGGAGAAAACCAGTTGGCGTAATAAAGGAAACTTCTCTGGAACGAAGCGGAGATTCCTGGAATAAAACATGACTGGTCTTCTGCCATGGTTTGGAGTTACAGTTCGCTACTTCACGTCAGTGGAATGGGGCTTGCCTTAGCCTGCAATTGAATTCGACGCCTGTTTTAGTGCTTACTCGCTAAATTTATAATATGTTCACAGAAGTAATGACTCATTGAATATGAAAATCGCCCCTTCCGCCGTTAACGACCACCATTTTCCGGAACTATAAGAAGGGGGATAAGAGTGTACGTCATTCGATGTTCATATCCGGACCTTTTGCCCTTGATTATTAATTATCTCTTCTGTTTTAACACTTACTTCGCTTTTACACTGCTTGCCGCTTTTAGCTTCTTACTACAACATTGTGTTTTTGTTGTCGTGTTGCAATTGCTTTTGAAAAAAGGAAAGAAAAAAAAGTTTCTGTTACATTCATTTTTACCAAGATGACCAGTTCTAATTTGACCGCTTCCCCTAAAACTGGTCAAGACGGTTAAATATTGCCTTTTTTGCCCACGCAGGGATCCCAGTGTCGCAAACCCTAAAAATCGGCAAAAAGGTTTGGGTGAATGCTAAGTTCCTTTTTGAAGTTCGAGAGATGGTCCGACATCTCGGCGAACGAATCATCGCAGCCCATGCGCCCATCGCCAAGAGTGAAGACTTCAGTTTTATTGTCGATGATCATATAACAGGTTATAACAGAATATTTCTTATCATGACATGATTTCGCTGATACAAATCCTACTTCCGGTAATAATGACAACTCTCTTCAAAAAAAATAAATAGCACTGATATTCGGGAGTGGATGTTAAGAAGTGAGCGCTGGTTGTATTTGACGAGAAACTGATTTAAAAAAACAGTGCCTCATAGTACTGTACCGCCCTGACTGACGATCGAAGCACGCGCTTTCTTTGCACTAAAAATTATAGAATTGACCACATTGTAAAACGCTTACATGAAGAGAATTCCATAATGTCGCGACTGTTTGGTCAGAACAATCTGCTCCTCTGTAGTATGCAGGGAAAAAATGGGCTTTTAGCGAAAACGTTCAAAAAAATTTCCAAAATCACCTATACTGCCAGCCGGTTCTCACTTTTGACAAGCGCCAAACTTACGAGCTGTTGAGGGTTGAACATTAATAGTCTAAGAGTTACGCTTTAACAAGAATTTATTATGTTTATTTTTCTATTTAATGGTTTTATTAAGTCTTATGTGTAATCTTTAACAGCGTTTGATACGCCCGGCATAAAGTACGTCTGCAAGTGATGCTCATGTACGACTGAAAACAACCGGCACGGCGATTAGAATTGCAAAGAGAGACTACTAACAATAAATAAAAGAACTTTTAGTAGGTGGAACATTTACAGAGACAACAATTTTCATTCACGACGACAAGTGTTGACATTAAAGTATTTCTAAAAACGTCTGAGTCATGTAAGCATATAAGCTTAAAACCTTGCTGTGTCAAGATGTGAATGAGGTGTTTGCTGTGTCAAGATGAACTCGAGGAAAGAATATCGCTCAAAGGTTTCTTTTTTCAACCAAAATTTTAACTAAATATTCTTCGGAACGTTTTCTATTTGCGGTCAGAAAATGTCTAAAGGCTTTTAAAAGTTCTGTAACCATAAATTAAAAACCTTATACTAGGTTAGATCATTTTAGTCTTAAATCTTACGAACGTGCATAAACTAGCCGCATTAACTACGCTCTACTTCACGAAACCAGAAAAAAAAACAACATAAAATACAATTTATAATTACTCAGGCTTACCAGTCGAGATGCAGCTCCTGAAAACCATCTTGAGTAAGGTAAGAATCGCTTGAGACTTTTCAACCCTCTTACGCATCAAGCAAGGTGAAAGACGAAACGATGCCATCCGAAATCGGATTTCCGATGACTTTGACAAGCGGCGCATTTCTCAACCAAAAACCCAATAACAGAAGAACCTTTCATTTCATTGTGTACATCCAGTGGAAAGGCAGTTAAAAACATCACAAGATGACACAAAACTCAGTGCCGTAGCCAGACCAAACTGAAGGCAACCGAGGCAGGCGGGAGTTGCTAGGGGGGTTCGGGGGCATGCCCCCCCCCCCCCCCCCCAAATTTGAATTTTTTTTTTTCGGAAAGGGGGTTTGGGGGGTTTTTTTGGTTTTTGGGGTGTTTTTTTTTGTTTTTTATTTTTTTTAATTTAAATTTGAAGGGGACAGAGCGCGAAGCCCGAATACACTCCACCCCGTATNGTACGTAGCCCCTTGAGATCGATGATATGGTAATTTTTTCATAGTATATTGACTGAATTGCTGAATTCTTTGTAATATCATGATGCGTTAAAAATATCCGATGATCGCTTATGTAAAATAAAAATGATCGGCGAAATTCGTCAAAATTTTACCGAGGCGAGTGCCTCGGTTGGCCTCATACTAGCTACGGCGCTGAAACTCTGTCAGCTTCAGCTATCAAGAAACAAGTTTCCAGATGCTGCATAAGTTTTACGCATGAACACACCTGTCAAGTTTTGACCAATCAGAGTATACACATTGGACGTAGAGCGTGACCAACGCGTGACCATGGAGAGAAATTCAGTAACTGCCTTCCCTGTCTGTAATAGCTGGCTGAAGTTTCGTGTTCGAGGTCAGTTTGAAATCAAAATTTTAAATGTGAACTTGAGTCTGCGATCATTTGAATACTAGTAACTTGTTAGCGGATAACTTCAAAAAGTACTCCACCTCGATGGGTCGATACTAGCCTGCGTAACAAGCGTTTCCGTTTAGTTTCGGAGCAAACAAAAGACCAAGGAACGGGATTTTCGGTTTTGACCGTGCGAGAAATGAAACGAGAGCCATTTTCGCGCGGTCTTTGACTCTAACTTGTTCCTTGTTCTTTGCTCCTAAACCGCACAGAAACGCTTGCTACGCAGGCTAGGTAGATACCTGATACCTGCGATACGGTCAGGTGATACTAGTCAGCGGATACCCTGTTTTGACAGCTGTCAATTGATCACATTATGGATGTGCAAAATTGATGTGCAGGTTGTACCTGGTTGCACCTGGGCTCCCAAACTAGCTAGAAAGTGTGAAATTAAACATTGATTTGCCTGTGGTGCGGACGGATGCCCCTCAGAATATAATTCGACCTATACAGTTAATTAAAGTGCAAGTGACCAACTGGCAGATGGGGTATGGAAGACCATAGGGCATGCAGCCTTCTCTTAATTGTTAATATATAAACTATAGTATTTTTGTGTACTTTGTCCTTCTTTTTGTTTTTTAATTATTTCTTTTTTTTTCCTTTCTGTAAACGATAACAGTTACCTGTTTAAATGTAAAGTAAAATTTAGTAATCAATAATTAGAATTTATTGTAATGAATTGTACATGTAATGTATTGTAATTGTTTGTGTGTCCGAAATAAAAAATAAAAAAAAGAAGATTCTCTTAGCTATGGGGCTACGCTCGCGCGCGCTTCTCGCGTGCGTGGAGCTCCGCTATAACATAAAAGAAATATTTACTGGCAAATAGGATTTTCATGTTGTTTAGTTGTTTAGTAGTTTGCTGTATTGCATAACCACTTCCTATTCCTTTTGTGATACCGAGGGGGAATCAGTACCCCCTTCGAAGTGTTTCCCGTAATCGAGCTTCAGGAGAAATAGCTGGCCTTCTGTAGGTGGGATTATTAGCACATGGAAAAACACAAATAATCTAATTGCTGACGCACTCGTCATAACCGAACCAAAACACAAACAAAGCAGTAAATTAACGCCGTAGTTGAAGCAAAACTAGTGCATGGAAAACCATCAAAAATGCAGTGTTCATTCTATAAAATGTAGAATTATTAAATAATGAGGAAGTGGATTCATTGCGTCAAATTTGAAATTTTTGCATTAAATGTCTTCACCACAGCAGATAAAAAACCTTTATGGTAAAAATTGAGGAAGTTGTTGCGTTTTAAGTGGCTTTTACAGCTAACTGGCAAGAAAAAAAACAGGTAATGGTTGTATGCTTCTCACCAATTTAACGGTTACGCAATTGAGTTAGAATCAGGAGCCTAATAGGCTCCTGGTTAGATCTAAAAGAGGGGACCGCGTTGGTGATAGTGTCCTGCTGTTTACGTTCTCTTGAAAACTAAAACTTTGGTCATTTGACTTCGCAATTGACGGAGAACAGCAAAGAAACTTACAGAAAAGCATAAACTTGACAACGGCCTCCCGTCGACGCCTTCGCAGTTTCGTAAGGTCCGTAATAACAGGCCTCAATCGGCGACAAAATGAGTTGAGACACTTCGCCCAATAGTAGGCTTTTTTACGTTTTATGAACTTCAAAAGGACGAAATATAGCTTTCCTCCCCCATCCCCTCCGTACAATGTTGGGCCCTTGTTCTAGCTACCTATAGAAAACAACAAACACCCCAACTTTGAATGGAGGGGACAGGGGAGGGGTGCGGATTCTTTTGTTCTCCGAAGTCACCCTATTTAAGTAAAATGTCTCAACAATTTTGTCGCCGATTGCTGCAGTCACGCCAAAGTATACACATGCAATGATGGACAGATCACCTGAGCGGGGTGGGGAAAGTATCCTCTAATCTTGTTTATATGGGTAGGATCGGCCTGGAAAAGGTACCTTTTCCCCAGGCTTAAAAAATAGTACCATTTTTGTAATGTGTACCGTCTTTTCTGTCAAAATATTAATAATGGTATATGAAAGGTTAAGACGTTGGACCACAGCTAAGAACCTTCAGAAATGGAGTACAAAATGTACCCTATGAACTGTAATGACTGGTTGGGAGTTTGTTTCATTACTGTTTTATTGCAGTATTTTTATTGATTTAATATAAAAGTATCTCTATTGCAAATTTGTTATACGAAATTAGCCTGCAAAGCACTAGGTGTATTAAGCAATGCGAACGATGATATTTTAGGAGCTAATGCCTCCGCCATTTTGGACGTTGACACTGACATTACAGAGAGTTGGTGCGAGTCAAAAATGATATCCAAGAAAGGGAGAGGTTGACTTTGCCTTCAACATGGTGGCCACGATATCTGCACTTTCGTT